GAGGTTATGTGGGAAACTCTTCCAGTTACTACTCTCATCTTGTTTGGCTATCGACCTGCCCCGTCGAGCCCTGAAAAGTGAATTCTGGCTTATGCGTTGGATGGAGGGGGAGTTAGGTACGTGACTAGAGGGGCTGATAAGCAGCGAGGCATTACGCATTGTACTAGGCATTATACTATGATATTATTGCATTTGCTTAACTGCTAGTGAAGCGGCGGCACGCAATAATTCTTGGTTAGCTAGGATCGACTGTCGTGATGAAAACGAGATAAGCTGCAATGTGACATCTCTGTCATGAGTGTCGCACATTGTATGAACATTTGTGTATGTCCGGGAGACTGACGAGGCAGAACGCTTTTGAATTCGGGAAAAACTCTGGTCTATTTGAGGCATTTGGCTCCCTCACATGATTGATCTTGCTAACTAGATGGAGACAAAGCCCTCACTTGCTATGTTTTCACGTTGATGTACAGAGTGTTTTGGAGTGCAGCGAGCCACAGCGGTCGCTCTGAAGATAATTACTCCAATAGACAGCGTTCCCCTATTTATAGGCTTCTCTGATTGTGCCACCCTCTAATTGACACACATTCAACATGCGAATATTGTATCAAAATGGACCAGTGCACAATAGCACGCATCGGTTCATGCTTCTCTTCCTCATCTATTTATCCCACATTTATACTGAATATGCGAAGTCCTTATGTCCTCACGCAGACACGAATAGCTGAAAATCGTGCACAAATCAGCAACGGAAGCCACAAAATTCCTGAAGTGCTTTCAGGAACATCATGACAAAATATTAGAATATAAGGCAAGCCAACAGAACTCTCCAAAGACGATTTCTAAAAGAAACTATGGAGTCCTGAAGACAGAAAATGAAGAACACTTGGAATTCTCCAAGTCAGGCCTCATGCAACCCCACGCTCGTTATCATCCATCACTACCATTGAGTGTTAACGGCCAAAGGGTGCTAATTGTGTCATGCCATAGGTAACCTTATGTCATCCATGGCTTCACACCGTCATTTTGTGTCAAAGCCAATCGTACGCTTACAAAAATCAATCGATTTCGCAGTTGTGAGTGCAGAGAATGGTGGTAGAATATTACGTGCAAGTCCAAAGCAACGAAAAATTGACATTTCCTGGACTCCTCGCGACAGGAAAAGGGCCAATAAAAGACCAGATCTCAGGCTCTGAACCCGCCAATTGTGGGTAGTTTAGGGAAAGTTTTCCGCTGTGCCAAATCGCTATGGTTTTGTGTGGGTTTGGGCGCGGGGGTGGGGGGAATCCCGCTCATAGCTAGAGCCGCAGGGCAACGCCTCGAGAATTCGCAATGCCTCCTGGTCTCCAGGTCCTTCAGAGGCTGGGTCAGCAAAGCAGAGCTCTAAAATCTTGATCGGCAATTGTCGACCATCATCTATTTTTCAATCGAGATATGCACTTTTGGTTGATGTAGCACAGAGCTGGGGAGACATCATTTTACGTAGATCCACCTTGTCTTTCTGACTCTGATGTTGTGTCGAACGTTTGCCCTCATCTATGGATAAAAAATCGGCTATAAAGCTTAGAATCTAAACAAGGTATGTTTGTTGCGGGAAGTTTATATATTTGTGTTTCAAGGTAATTTAACGAAGTAAGCCACGTGTCAGATAGGGAAACCAATGGTGAGCACACCCATAAGAGATCACTTTTCTTAACACATAATGTCAATTGGGAACAAAGACATACATCTGATGCTAAGAAGTTCCACAATCGCCGCAAATTTTACTCAAGATACATCAAGTAATTACATCTAAGATATAACATCTTAGAGAAGAAGGGGCGCCGTCGATCAGCGGAGAGCAAATAGGGACATGTTAGGGTCCTCCCAAAAAGCGTTCCGTCCTCACAGATATTCCACAACTGTTTCAATTGGCACCCTCCAGAGCCGCCCCACCATTTTCCGTGGTTTTACGCATGTCACTTTCAACCTCTATGATCGCTGCGGCACGTGCTGGTCATCGCCCTGAATGACTGTGCGGCATCCCCACAACGTGCCAGCGCTGTAATAAACGTTACTTTATACCATCAGGTAATATTGTTGATTCATGACTGGCCGACATTGCCGACATCGAACTGCAGCATGGGTGTTTAGAGGAGAGATAAAAGGAGACTTATCCACATACACCGATGTTAGGGTACCTTCCCGACGTACTTTCCCGACTTTGCGATGCATCGTCGAAAATCACCTGGTGCCACGCTGCATCAGCAGCGGGCATCCAAGCATAATGATCCAATCATCAGAGGGTGTCTTAGCTGGGGGTGAGGCGAAGGGCCGCCGCTTATGATGGATGCTTGAGTTGTGATCAGTCGTGCACTTGTGAATAGTCAACGCCTCAAATCTACGGCAGTCTCACATTCGCAGCTAAGTTCCAACAAGTCCTGTTGTAGTCCCGGCATGGTGAATTTCCCAGCTGACTATTATCATATTGTGATCAGCATGAGAGGCTACCAACAGCAAATGTCACATCAACTGTTTTCTTTAAGGGTGCGCGTTTGAAATAATGAAATCCCAAACGCCGCACTCCAGCGCGACCCAAAACTCCCTGGGGCCCAAAAAGCTGCTTCTTGACGAGGTAAATCCGCCCATGTCGATTCGCGCTTCCGCACACACGCGCACCGCTGTAGCTTTCTGCCTGCGGAATTGGTGTCCTTGGCTGCGAAACCGCGGCGCGACGTGCCACCCTGCATGACCCGATTCCACAGGTAAGCACAGAAAGTCGCGAATTTGCAACCTCCTGAAGGCCGAACACACATCGGGCCGATAGCCTGACCAATGCATTGGGCTCTGTAGGAGATTGCACGCCCTGATTGTGTTGGAACAGACCTAAGTGGCGTGGCCAATTGTTACCAGGCCTGTCCATGAATGGGTTGCTGGCTCGTAGTGCATCTCACCTGGCCACACCACAAAGCTTGTAACGTGGGGCATTCCCACAAGTCTGGCTGCGAACGCCTTTGGACTGGGCTCCAACTGTGACCTGCATCATTGTGGGATCATTAGGCAACACCAGTAGGAATTTTTCATTTTCGACGGTTATGTTGAAGGGTTATTGAGTGAGAGTGGTCCAGTTCCCCATTGCAATGGCATGAAACACATGTACCTTTGGCTCAGATTTTGCCAACCTTTCAATGCAAGGCCATTGTTGCTGAACTCCATTTATTATGTTGTCAACACTGTTGTAGTTTCCTTCCACTTAAAATGGACAGCCATTGTACGCACATTTCAGCAATGTGCCAACAATACGGTCGCCAGGGCTTGTAAGAGGTTTTGAAAGTGCTCTGGAGCCTTAGCTGTTTTCAAACCGGGGGAATGGCCATTCTCTGGTTGCTACAAAACATGATTGCTAATGCAGTGGAAATCGAATAGAGACATCTTCTATCCTCTCGAAACTTTCTTCAGACCCCAAAATGCTGTTCTGCACAAAATCTTTGTTATCTGTTGTTCACCGCCCCTAATAATTTGTTGAACAGCACAACTGCCTATTAATGTGATCCATACTAATGCAGGAGATTACTTATCTGTATTTCCTTCTGGAGGTGTGCTGTCACATGATGTTGGTCTTCAAATTCTTGTTGCAGGCTTCAACGTTGCACAAGTCTGCAAGATTCACTATGTGCAGCATGGAGACAACATTGGAGAACTCATCCTGTGGATGGGCTGCGAGTCCCAGACTCTGCTACACTAGGTGCCGTTGCTCCACAATCCATGAGACCCAGCAGAGTCCATGAGAATGTGGCAGCAGCCCATGCAAGGAGGCACACACCCCAGGAAATTAAACCAGCAAGACAAGTCGTTCTGGAGGTGATGAGGAGATGGTGGATTCACGTTGTGGACACATGGTGCAGAGATGGTCATCACGAACTTGGGAGCCAATTTGTCCATCAAAGGTTTTCACTCTGCCGCGCTGTCAAACCATGACTGCAGGACTATACTGTCTGCTCAACACTGGTTCCCTGATTTGCTTTTGGGAGGGCCAACTTAAAAATGGGGTAAAACATGAAACATGGAGTTGTATGTGAACTGCCAAGGCAAAATTAGAGTGTCTTTGTGCACCTCAGTAAAGATGACTCTTGGGTGATGCATGTACTTTAAAATACCATTTATGTGAACCAGTGCAACTGCTATGAAGCATTGTTAGTTGTGCAAAATCTTGTACCTGATTCTTGCACAGCAAGTATTGTCCACCTCCATGGCGTCACGCCACCAGCAAACTCCGGAGGGCTGTGCGCTGCCTTACTGGGCACCATGGAACCTAAACCATCATGTGTGGCCTTCTTCCTTGTTGCAAGCGGACACAACTGCTGTTTCTATCGCTTGTGGTTTGCAAAAAGTCAAGCGGACAGGGAGATAGGTATGACAGGCAAGCCTCTTTCATTGGCCTTTCGTTGCCAGTGTTCTGCATAGCACCTCAAGCTGCGAATGGCACCTTGTGTTTTCTTTCAATCTGCATCTGATATCATTTGCCTTTCAAGAGGCACAGCCTTTGATGCGTCCAGCAAGTGCTGAAGTCAACAAAACATGGACTGGATGAGATGAAATGCATCCCATACAGGATCACTTCTCTACCAGATAAAAGGTGCCACAGAATACATTAATTGTTTAAGGTCCTTGGCAGCAAGTGGCAACATCTGCAAGAGGAGATGGCCATATTTGCTGCTTCCTGTGCGTACCATATGAAAATGATGCAATGCTTTCCTATGCACAGGATCCATTGCTGCAGAAAATCATTGAATCACGCCAGAGGATCACCAGGTCGCCCGGAAACCCAATGGAGAGAATCAAGGTTGCAGGTGTCAGCTTTGAAGACAGGCAGGCAAGGGTCGTGCCAGCGGGCATGATTGAGAACTGTTATTGTAAAGACGCCCCACAGCCTTGCGTTCATATCGGGCCATTGGCAAGGCAAAGCCCGACTTGCGCACCACACGCATGAGCGTATTCTCTGGCTTTCTCTCTGTGCTAGTATTGGGAACTGAAGTGCATCCAATCCATTGGAATTAGATTTGACCTCTTTATGTGTGACTTTGTGTGTCCCAGTCGAATGAATACCTCGGAAGTGGATCTTTGTGCTGTGTTTATTATAATCGTGTTGGCACATCATTGCAAGACGAAAGTGGAATACCTCACAATACCTGTGTTCTAATCTCAGGAAGTCCTGGCTTCTTGCAATTTTGGAGATGTTGTCATACTGTCCCATGAGCCCTGGAACCCAGTGGATCCCAGTGCAGTTGCAGTACATTTGCTGGATGGGCGACAACTGGGGTATGTGCCACGCGACAGCACCGGGGTCTTCACGCACAAGACAACTTTCGGTCGCATATCATCTGTTGGTCGGAATGAGGTAAACCTCTATGGTGAGTCATAAAATGACAGCAATCATTTACTAAATAGAAGCATTGAGACATTCTTGATTCAGAGTGTTCATATTGCAATAGCCATGTGGAGAGTCTATGCATTTTTGTGTGTCAATATGTGTTAGTGTTTATTCATTGTGGTTTTCAAGGGCGCCCTGCTGCTGTGCTTGGCCATCTGCTAGGAATGCCCTGCTGCTAGGCATGGAATATGCTTGAAATTATATTACATGGTGAACCCGTAGGACCGCACACCAAGCCGATGGACAAGCATGCCAGCCATGCATGTGCACAAACACCATCTTAGACTGAATCACCTGTTGTGTAGTGCTTGCAACTCAAGGCGATTTGGCAGCAATTTCGCTGTAGCTGTAGGGCCAGGATAGGTTTCGTAAAAAGGGATAATTGCTCTGTGCTTGCTAAGATGTGTGAGGCATACAACAAACTGTTTTGCTTATTATCTGTTTTGTGCCTTTCCAAAATGTAGTATGTGACTGCTTGCACTGAATTCTGCTGATAGGTGCCTTCATTGATGTGCAGCCCTCACTGCCATACTTTACTTTCTGCCCTGTGGCCCTTCATCTGGGCGCCAATGAACACATTCTTGATTGTCTGGGCCAAGACCACAGTGATCGTTTGCGTCAAGCAGCTTTGGAAAAAGCAGGGAAAAGGTAAGTGAGCGTGAGTGTGCAGCTGGGCTGCTCAGGATGAAGGGGCGCCACACAGTTTAGCAATTTATGCGTCCTGTGTGCCAAAGATTTAGGACAGCTGTCGATGAGATCGCATGGCATGGCCTGAAAAGCTTGAAAACTGGCATAAAACAGTCGTCACTAAAGATCAATCATTTCAAGGGATGGCGCATTACATCGTGACAGAAATGCGATTCAAGCACAAGTTTGGACAAACTGATATCACACTAGAACAGTGACATAATGTGCAGGACTGGGCGTTTGGAAATCCCATTAAGCTGTTGAATCCATTACCTCGTTTGCCCTGCACACTGTTCAAATACACAAGGCATGTGGTCATTGCCAACAGCATTGGTGCCGAGACAAGGCATGTGGTGCCAGGTTTGGCAAAAATGAGCATGACCAACATTCACAAAGTGTATCAAGTGAATTGTGCGCTTATGCCAATTTTGAGCATATTGAGCTTATCACAGGCTGTTGTGGCCATTTCGAACAATAACATTATCAGCTCTGATATCGGTCCGATTGTTGAATTTTTGCACTTTTTCCAGGTGTGCGATCACAGGGATTTCCCACGAAGATTGCAAATTGGAAGTGTGTGATGAGTGGTGGTGCGATGATGACAAGCGAGTAGGTTACATGGATGGACTAGATGTGTTGGCAGCTCCGCTTGCATGGCTCCGCCGACTGCCAGGAATCCACGCAGCGGGTACACAGGAGTGGAACAAGGGCATGGTGGTGATGGCCAACATTAATGGGTGGGTTCAGTCTCTGGCGTAAGATGTTCATTTCGCAATTTTAGAGATTTCAGATCCCAGTAATCGGCTCATAGGCTCCTGGGATTGAGGTATTTACAGTAGTTGATGAAGCAGTGCAATCCGTACAGCCTGATGTCCCAACGGAAAATGTCTTTGCGCAAATCTTCAGTGAATTGGAACTTGAATCTGTAGCTGTGTCTGGTTCAGTGTGCTCAAGGATATGCTGTGTATGCCATTGTCTCCTTTCCAAGTAAGATCACCTGCAGGGAACCAGCATGGTACAGATGCGGGTTTTGGTGCACAACTGTGTTGTGCCTGCATGCTTACACTACTGTTCCTAAGTGAGATTTGGAAGCTTTCTCCTGCAATAACGCATCACACGGCTGGGTTTTAACCTGCAAATATTCGTCAAACAATCAGAGGGAAGAAAGATGAACATACACACATGTGGACATTAAATGGCCCGAACAACAAGCAGTGTCATTGGCTGACAAGGACGCTATTGGCACTTGAAATATTGCACGGCTCTGCAAATATGGGCAGCAGACCTTGCCGTGGCGCCAGGTGTTCGGTGTCCCATATCAGTGGGTCAGAAAGTTCTGGAATGCATAAATCAATTTGTGACACTTCTTTTGCCCCACAGTTGAAATTCAATTATTGTAGCTGAATGTCAAGAATAGTGTGCGGCAGAAGAGCGCCGTTTTGCCGTTAAAAGTGACGTTGACCTGATTTCTTTGTCTGCGTGTATTAGAAGTACTGCAATAGTGGAGTTTGTGCAGCATGAATGGTGGCGTTTTGGAAAACCTGGTGACGTTTTTGCCTCGAGCGCTAACAGACTTCCAGATGTGTATGCGAATGGCATTGTGCGCTTCCAATTGTGGGCGTGAGCGAGGACGCATTGCTGTTGAGGTGCCTCGCATTCAGCTTACCAGAGGCGTGTCTATGCAATGACAATGGGGAATGTGGCATTTGCTCAGCTGCAATGCAGCAGTCCTGTTGCAGGATTGCACGTGTGCAGCACATGTGTCACGTTGCCAATACTGTAGATGGGGAAATTTTCGTTTCGGCGACTTGCTTTGTGACCTACTGACTATCGCATGGATGGGGAGGGTTGAATGGAAGAGCTTATCGCATTACGGAAGCTTGCGTGTGTGCACCACTATGCGAATGTGCATGCAAGGGATTGCAATGCAGATTGAGGAGGACTTCTGCGTGTTGCTTTCTTTCATTTCAGCGCATAATCAGCTGCTGAGTACATTTTGCCGCATTGCTAACGGTGTTGCTGAATTTTGGGGAGTCGTAGATGATGGAATATGCATCATGACAGCTGTTTGTCATTATCACTGCCCAGATGGTCTGTATCTGAGGCTGAGCAATACACAAGTCAACGCCGTCAAAATCAGTTGCAAATGTCCCTATCGGCAAAAGGAACTCAAGCAGAGGTCGCATCCCAATGGAAGCTGGACTTTTCGTGGCTACGGGAACAAGGTGTTGAGATACCCGAACTGCTGCGCCAAACTGTGATGGTGAAGATTGTCCACTAATGGGGAAATTAGTTGTCACGGTGATATCTATGTTTTGTGTAATGTATCTTTAAAGTGGCTTTGGTGGCAGGATGGTATTGTGCTTGTTGACATGCCGCATGCTGGTACTATTTTGGTCGCGTTGCGGCTAAGGCCATTGGGTTTGGGCAGCAGTCCTAGGTGGTTGCTATCAGGGTGCATGACGAGTTCACGGGTGGACTGGAATCGGAGTTGCATTTGAGCTTTGGGGTGCAGTTTTGGTGGCCACGGTGGCTATTTGTCTCGGTATCGCATTGGACGGTGACGTTGCGCTATTTTGAGTTGAGGATTATTTGATGCGAGCAAAGTGCAAAGGAAAAGGCGACCTGCGTGTGAGGCCTTGTGCGTGCTATTTCGATGTGCATACATATACCATATTCTATCGTCACGCCGCAACCCCTACGCCGTCTGTGTCCCTCCAACGCGTATGCCCATGTGGTTGCTTGCCAATCAACCTTCTGATAAGATCGCCTTGGCCATGCGTACACCTATCGAGTGCCATGGTCAATTCCTGCTGGCCAATTGGGCTCATCGCACCAACACACCCGTCCGACGAATGGATGTTGAGCACAATGCGAAAGATACCATGCGGGAAAGCGGCAAGATGCTTTGATAGTGTGCGGAATCTCTTGACAGTTTCTAGAATCAAAAGGTCAAATTTCTAGCAAGGCCACCCATGTTAGATGCTTTTGCTCCAAGCCTGTCCGCATGGAGATTTTGGTTGACTGTCTTGTGTTTTCGATCTCGAGAGCAGTTAGGTGCGTTGTTGGCCTAGTTTGTGTGCGCAGAGGCGTGGCAGTCCTTTAAATTCACCAGAACGTATGGGCGATTTCCCTCAGGTTCACATGATGCACGACGGAATGCCCACTAAGCAGCCTGTTCGGCCGATCCATGGGCCTGACATCCCGTGCATGCATACATGATCCATGCCCAACCCGCGGCCCCAACAAGACCCTGTGCACCTTCCTCTATCTTACCTATATTTGCTCGGGCACTGCACTCCCCTGCCTTCCCCCTTCGGCCCCTTGGGTGAGTCGGCTGTGCAGCACAACTTACGCTTGCCAAACCCCATCCATCGTTGTATGAACACACCCAGACCCGTGACCTTGCCACTGCGGCAATTGCCCAGTCGAGCAAACCTTCCCGGCACCCACAAGTGCACCCATAAAGCGCTGCATACGCGGCCACCTTCTCATTGATATTCTACGGCAAATAGCCCCTTTGGGTACTTGGGATCGATCAGGGGTGCGGACAGTGCGTCCCACTTAGTCTCTTGCCAGTTGTCGTGGGCACATGGAAGTCACTGTTGGTCCTGGGCACGTTACTTTGCACTATCTTTCAGTCTTAACCGGTCTGCTAGGGAGCCCTAAACATTGTTCAATGTCAGTTGCGGTGGCATGCAAGTAGTATAACGTCCATACGTGGCGCAATTTCTGCCAGACCGGTCTCCTGTGCCCACCCAGTCATGTACCCCATGACGATATTTACAGACATAAACTCAACGTCACATACCCAAGGTTCCCATCCTTGAACATTGCCCTTCGCTTCGCTCGTACTTAACGCCACTCTGCCAGTGACTAACCCCATGAGTCAGCTCACTTATCCCGTACTTCACTCCCTTAACTGCCTCCCCATATCACAACTAAACCGAAGCCCACTCTCCAGGGTGGGAGGGTTGGGTGTGAAACAATATAAGGAGGGAGACCAGGGGGAAGCCTAAATAGTCACCCCTCTCCGCCCCGCCAAATCCCGCCAAACTCTAGGGCGCCAAAGACGGCGGCACCTCGTATTTTCGTACTCTGACTGACCCACGGTATTAGGGCCGCCAGAAATCCCAAGGGGCGGGGGTTGAGTAATATCCGGGTTCAAAATTGCACCGTTCGAATTACCAGCGCAGCCCACCCATCGTCGCCCTTGGCACAAACCCATTAATAGGATATTTGACTTCATTTCTGCCAGACCGTTCTCCTGTGCCCACCAGTCATGTGCCCCCATGACAGTATTTACAAACATAAACTCAACATTACATACCCGAGGTTCCCGTTCTTGAACACTGCCCATTCACTCTCCTCGGGAACTCGAGGCACCTCCAGGGCTGAAGATGTGCCTGAATTGCTCATGCAGGTTGCGGGCGGTGATAGTCATCCAGCCAAACAACCAAAAGTCCCACCCCGTGGGCAAAACGAAAAATGTTAATGTACGACCAGATTGCGTCTGACTTCCACCCACCCCAATCGCAGATACGCCACTCTGTGACCTCCAAAGCAAAGCAACTGGACGTGCCTCCTCTTTGTAGGCCGTTGTGGTGTAAAGCACAAGGGGTATTATGTTTCTCTTGTAATTGGATTATTGGGAGGTTAAAGTACAATGAACTATGCGATTGAACATCTTATATGATAGTAAATTCAATTAAGAACCCATAGGTCCTTGAACCGCCTCCATTGGGTTAGCAGTAGAGGAGGTATTGATAGATATACTTCTAGTACTTCAGAACCCTTCGCTGGGACCGTATTTAGGGACGAGATACAATCGTAATTCCAAAGGGGGTGGCCACCCATCAAATTGTAACATTCTTTCTCTCGCCCACTCCGCGTACCCCGCGGCTGCATATGCGAGCCGCACGGTGCTACTCCTACATCGCGCATAGCAGCCCCACGCTTGGCCATCTACAGACCTTGGGCCAAGCTGCAAACCCAAAGGAACGAGCGCCCTGGCAAAGCCCACCGGTCATCCAGTGGAGGAGGCCCATATGGGCCCAATCGGGCGCCTTGCCAGGTGCATCGCTCGCATCAAACCCAAAACCATACCAAGTGGTTTCGGAGCCAGTGGGCATGGATGGCGGAAGCGCGCCATGCGGCACGAGAGCACCAAGGGGCCCCCATCCCGATGGTGGGGGGAACCCATCCATGAGATCCGTGGAGAAGCGGCAAGCCAAGCACCCCAAGAGGGGGCCTGAATTGGCCAGAGTGGATGCTGCGCGCCCGGTTCTATGGGGGGAGGCACATTGTTTTGTCATTTCACAAGGGATCTTGACGAGTGTGGGGGGGTGGGGGTGGAGGGGTGCATTCCCCCGCGGAGATTACTGTAGACGGAGGTGGGGCGGTGTATTGCCATAGAATACCATGAGTTGGGATGGCAGCACAGAGGCGCAGACCGGGCGCCACTGGCCCCGATGGCAAGGAGGCATGATTAGCCGTGTAGGCCTTTGGATCGGGTGGAAAGGAGCGCCAGGACCCTAGAAGGGCCGGTGCAGGAACAAGCGATAGGCCAGATCCCGATGCAAGCTATGCAAAGGGTGATTGGACCATACCACCCCATAACGTGACAGCAAGAAGTGGCAGGAAGTGACCCGCCCCGTGTACTGCCGACGGGGGGGATACTGAGTAGCGACCCCGGGTGGGGCCCCTACCTAGAGGCCTACACAATAGTGACCTCTACATGTGAATATGTGGTACTATGCAATGATTGGATGTTGGTGGAGTGGAGTTGCAACCCAACAGGCGAATGGTAGCTTCCTTAAAGAAATTGAAGGGGTACCTTTGACCTCCTCAACAAGTGGACAATGGGTAGTTGCATACGGCAGCTTTGCTGGAGCAACTAAGGTGGTACTCTTGACCTCCTGAGTAAGTCGACAATAGCCAATAGTGAGCAATAGCTTCTCCAAAGCAGCTGAGGGGGTACTCTTGACCCTCTCAGCAGGTGGAGAGCAGCTTCATCAAGTTTAAAGTTGACTACCCCTATAGACAATTAAGGTGCCAGAGCACTAGGCCTAGGGCCCTCCGAGTGGGCCAGTATTAATTAGGAGGCTGTCCCACTCCAATAGGGCGAATGGCCAGGACGCCGGGGGGGAAGGCTGAGTCAAAGAGTCTTGTACCGGGCCAGCCTAGACACATGTGAAGGGTTATAGGCCTACCTGGTGGCAAAAAAAAACTTATCCAGAAAAAAGGTTAACTCCAATTTGAAGCCGGCGGCTGCCCCACATGTATTTGGGGGGTGCATGTAGGGCCGGACAGACACAACACCATTAGGTTCCGTTTTAGAGAGGAGGTAGCTAGGGAGGAGGGATAGGTCCGGAATTCCCCTGAGTTACTTGGGGCGCACATTATGCCCATCAAATTGCCATCTGGTTGAGGTGTGGCATCAGCCCTAAGGTGATCGTAGTTTGTGAGGCCGCCAAGAGGCCGATATTAAAAAGTCCTCCCTAGGCAAGGAGGCAGGGAATGTTTAGCTCTGATCAACTGATGGCGTTCCCGGGGGTGCCACAAGGAAGCCTCTTTTTTGAGGGGTGAGCAAATACTCTTTGAGTATTCTTAAATTCCCTATTGCTAACTAAGGAAGAAATTGGTTGTAAAGACTATCCTAGAATTGTTGTGGTGAAGCCACTCTGAAACCTTGTCGGTTGGGGAAGTATAGTACCCACTGATTTGGATATGTCATTTGGTGAATCCTAAAGCTTGCTCTAAGTGAGTAAGGACTACGATCTAGGATATCTCTAGGGCTGGACCTCCATGTAATTAGCCTATAATCTACCACAACTTTCAGTCACCAATTTTTAGTCAGTCTTCATTCAGACTTCATTAGTTTTGCTGGGATTATTGGGATTCTTTCTGCACTTTTTATTTTACCCTACGCTTATGCTATTTTTACATGAGTGAATATTTATATCACATATATCAGACCCATGAGCATTTTGTTGGTAGGAGATAGAGGAGGCGATGAGTTTTAAGGCTGTTGACTCAGCGTCACACCAGGGAGTATTGTCTGGTCCAGTACTAGTATCTGAGGCAGTTATTAATATATTGTTATGCCCTTAGTCCCCTTTGCATACTAGTATTTTGTCCATGGAGCATCATGTAGCTCGTATCGCATCGGGGACATAGGCAGGTACCCATATCTAGCATGACTCGCCAGATATCCGGAGTCAATGGACATTCATTGAGCATAGAAAAACGTTGCCTGTCCACACAGCCTTGCAGTTCACA